CTTAATGAGGTGATCCCTTGTAGCCCGAGGGTGATGGTCCTCCAAGTGTAGTGTCTTGTGTGTCGGTCCGTAGGTATCTGTGGAGCCCTATTCTTGATCCGCATGTTTTCCCGCAGTGAGGACATTGGTTTCCAGATGGAAGGCGGTTCCGGTCAGGGTTGGCTTGATGCGCCTTCCTCTTGGCACGCCTCTCCCTTTCACCCTCTATTTGCACCTCTTTGAATTCTGCAGCACGGCTGGTCACAGCTGACCTCCAGTTAGAGCGCTCAAGGGCCAGGGCTTCCCAGTTCTCAGTGTCTATGCCACAATTAGAGCTCTTCTGGCAGGAGATTCCACAGTCTTGTGGTGGCCAATGAAAAAGGTCCTCTGGGTGATGGCTGTCTGTTTATTGCTGGTTGGAGTAAATGCTGCCCAGAGGACCTAAGTGTAGAGGGCAGATTGTATGGGAGAAGGTCATGCTATAGGAATCTGGTCCCAAACCATGTACGGCTTTAAAGGTTAAAAGCAACACCTTGTACAATGGCCAGAAACTAATTGGCAGTCATTAGAATGACTTCAGTATGGGTGCAATATGCTTAGTCCTGGATTTTCATGTAACCAATCTGGTTGCTGTATTTTGAACTAATTGGAGTTCTGAACTTGACACAAAGGTAGCCCAATGTAAAGTGCATTGTAACTGTCCAATCTTGAGGTCACCAGTGCCTGTATTACCATCTTTTGGTCTTCTACAAAGGGGTGCAACTGGCACATCAGCAAAAGCTCTTAATAAGCACTCCTGACTGTCACATCTAGCTGGGCTGACATTTGAAGAGTTCAATGCAGTTAAATGTATTATATGGGTCTACACCACCATATAATGCAAACTCAAATTATTTTGAATCTGCATTTTTTGGCACTGTAGATCCAGCCTTATCCAAAGTCATCCAATGGGTTTCAATGCCCAATAAATGATTCAAACCCTGGTCTCCAGATCTGTAGTTTTAGCATCAAAGATGGAAATTGTATTTTTACAAGTTCTTTTAATGTCCTCTGACAAAAAGAGTTCAAGTGCCTCGCCAAACTCCAAATCCCTGGATTCCATAATATTGAGCCATGGCAGTTAAAGTCATGTCAAACTATCCTAAGTCTGTTTTTGTGAATAGTCATAGAAATGCAAGTGATCCGCTATTATTAGTGAATTTGTAATATCCTAGATTCAACTTTTGTATCAGAAATCATGCCTGGTAAACGTTGGCTTCTCTGCAATTGAATGTTAAAGACTTCAAGTGTTGAAATGTTTGCATATTAATATGATTTCTCTAAGCCATTGTTCTTGCCTTTCTCTAAGTCATACTGTAGATTCATAGGTTGGAATAATTGAAACTGCTGTGACGGTCTGGATGAGGGCGAACAAATTGAAATTGAATCCAGACAAGACAGAGGTGCTCCTGGTCAGTCGTAAGGCCGAACAAGGCATAGGGTTACAGCCTGTGTTGGATGGTGTTATACTCCCCCTGAAGACGCAGGTTCGCAGCTTGGGTGTGATCCTGGATTCATCACTGAGCCTGGAACCCCAGGTCTCAGCGGTGACCAGGGGAGCATTCGCCTGTACCTTGGGAAGTCTGACTTGGCCGCGATAGTCCACGCTCTGATTACATCCTGTATAGATTACTGCAACGCTCTATATGTGGGGTTGCCTTTGAAGACTGCTCAGAAGCTTCAAATGGTCCAACGGGCAGTAGCCAGGTTGCTAACAGGAGCGGCGCTGAGGGAGCATACAACTCCTCTGTTGCGCCAGCTCCACTGGCTGCCAATCTGCTTCTGGGCTCAATTCAAAGTGCTGGCTTTAGCCTATAAAGCCCTAAATGGTTTCGGTCCAACTTACCTATCCGAACGTATCTCTCCTTATGAACCATCTAGAACACTAAGATCTTCTGGGGAGGCCCTGCTCTAGCTCCTGCCTTCCTCACAGATGCGGTTGGTGAGGAGAGACAGGGCCTTCTCAGTGGTGGCCCCTCGACTGTGGAACACCTTGCCTAGAGAGATAAGATTGGCCCCCTCCATCCTGTCCTTTTGACGAATGGTATAAACCTGGCTTTTTGAACAGGCCTTCCCAAATATGGCATAGATATATGATATTATGGATAATTAACAACACAACCGGACAATGATTTGAGATGGAGATACTTTGACAAAGTTTTTAAAATGCTGTGTATGATTTTTATGTTTTTATATTACTGTTAGTATTTTAAAGTATTTATCATTATTTTAATTTGTTGTAACTGTACCAGCATCAAATTGCTGCCTATTGTTAACCGCTCCGAGTTGCCCTTGGGCTGAGAGGGGCGGTATATAAATGTAGTCAATAAATAAATAATAAAACTGTGATATTTGCTTATCAGTAATGTGTATTGGTGTATTGATCACTGATTAATCAATAATGTGTATTAATCACTGCTATGCACCTTGCCAAACTTAGCTGTAATAAGTTTTCACAGAAAAGCCTTCAAAGAAGAAGCCTAATGAGCTGTTCAGCTAAGGCTTCAAAGCTTCAAGCAGAATGATGTAGTTGGGAGTATAATGGGTGACCCAGCAAGGCAATAAATCTTCTCACAGGCGAGTGGGAACAAACAAGGAGGGAGACTGGAAAGCACTGACATAGTGATTTTATAGCACTAATGATCAACACCAGAGACATACTCAGAAAGTGGGGAACTTTTCTCCGGGAAACTGTGTCTATATAAATAGAAGTTGAACCACTAGGACAATGTGGCACTTTCTTTGTCACCCCTGCATTTATTGGATCAAATAAACTCACTGAAAAGATTTCCAGTCTCTAGCAAATGTTTGGACTTGAATAGTAGAAATCCTTATGAGTCGTCTGGCAGATGGGAAACAGATCTGGGTAATTGTAATATCTCACTTATGACAATCTCAGATAAGACTATCACAGCGTTTTCTGTGACTGAGAGTGGATATCCACAATAACATTTATTTGTTACCTGCCTCTTCTTATGGCTTCAGTTGGGGTACATAGTTGAAATACATAAATACAACGGTAGACTATTAAAATACATATATTAAAAAAAACCCTAGATGAACTGAAAGGAGAGTTACTGAAGGGTGAAAAATAACCAGTAGGCAAAAAATGTCAAACAGAGGTACTCTACAAAAGTGCTCTTCATTAAAACTGGGAAAGTGGTTTTTTTTGGTGTCAATTTTATTGACTTCTCTGATTGTGTATGGGTTTCTCTTCTAGCTCTTATGCCTCTAAACCCCAGCTCTTCCTTTTGAGCAGCTTGGGTCGCTGGATACAAATAAAAAAGATGCCAAGCGAGACTGCCTCTGATTTTAATGTGCCAAGAAAAAGATTGTCATTTGTCAAAGAATGATATTAGACTGGTGTGTGCCCAAACAGGGGCTTATTACAATGGCCTTATATAATTTATGCTTAATGTTTTTTTTATATATAAGATGTAAATTAATTGGTGGGTTATGTCATTATTTAATTTTTGCTATAATTTTGTTGTAGTTGTTGCTTCTTTTTGTGATCTGCTTGGTTCGTTTCTGTATTTGTACTTATTAATGTATTGGGCATTGAATGTTTGCCATTTATTGTTGGAATCTGTCCTGAGTCCTCTAAGGGAGGGAGGGCAGAATCCAAATAAAGATGGTGATGATGAGGGAGATGATGATTATTATATTCTACCCCAGCTCCGGATAAAGAGAACCAGTTACTTCGCCATTTTACCATGCACCCCTAAAGTATTTTAGATTTTTTGATAACAGATGCTAAACCCTAATTAAATACTTAATAGTACATTTTTAAAAATCCATTGATCTACATGTGTGAACAGAGTTATTAGATAAGAAGTTTTGGTGTCTTGCAAAAAAAAAAAAAGTAAAGCCTTTTGCTTGGTCATATTTATTTTATTATTATTATTATTATTATTATTATTATTATTATTATTATTATTATTAAACTTTATTTGTACCCCGCTAGCATCTCCCGAAGGATTCGATGCATCTTACACAGGCCGAGGCCTCAACACACAACACAACAATACAATCTAAGCAAATCAAACAATTAAAAACAGAATAAAGCAAAATAAACAACAGGCACAATACAGTAAACACAATAAAACTGGGCCGGGCCAGAGCAATGGGTACAAGATTAAAAGTGCTGATGTGACAGGAGGTGTATATAGGGCTTCCAGGGCAAGTGCGATGTGCGATGTGCAGCAATCATTGGTTCTGATAAAGTGCTTATGGGACTTGGTGGTGGAGATTTCCTAATCTGGGAAGGCGCATCGGAAAAGCCAGGTCTTCAAGTTCTTTCTGAAGACAGCCAATGTAGGGGCCTGTCTAAGGTCTTTGGGGAGGGTGTTTATTTATATATTTATATCTCTTAGCATCCTGGGGGGGGGGAAGCTTTCACAGGAAAAGACTCAGCCAGCTAAGGAGCTATTCAGATAAGATGTCAAAGCTTCAGGCTGAATGATGTAGTTGGGAGTGGCTAGCACTGAAGTTCAGGATAAAGGCAACCAGTTACTCTACTATTTTGACCCCCCCCCCCCCCCGGAAGTACTTTGGATGTTTTGATAAAAGATGCTCAAACTTTAATGAAATATTTAATAGTGTATTTTTTAAAATCCATTAATCTACATATGTGAGCAGAGTTATTAGGTAAGCGCTGTTTGTGAATGGAATGCACAGCCTCAGAATGAGGTGGATTCTCTTTATTTGGACATTTAAAAACTGAGACTGGATGGCCATCTGCCGGGAATGGTTTGATTGTGTGTTTCCGCAAAATGGGGTTGGGTTGGGTGGCCCTTGGGGGTCTATTCCAACTTTATGATCCTATGATCTATGACTTCAGAGAAGTCACTAATGGCGATATTTCCATGGAGTAGTTCAAGATCAGCTTGTAAAAGAAAGGATTGTGATATTTCATGTCAGAAGTGTTTGAAAATAGGAAATAAAATATTTTGGAGCTAACAACAGAGCAAGCAGGATGAATATTAGATGTTAGAATTCTGTCTCCTTCTTATTAGCTGTTCCCTGTTGTTCAAATCAGACTTCAGTAATATAATGTAGCATTTGGAGGAGAAAATGAAACCCAATAACCCAGCACTGGAGAACAAAATGGAAAAGACTTCCACAGCTACCATATATTTTCCTTTGGTGCTGAGGTAAGTTGGGACAAAGGACACCCAAACACTGCAGAAGACCAACATGCTGAAGGTGATGAACTTGGCTTCATTGAAACTGTCTGGCAACTTCCTGGCTAGGAAAGCCACCATGAAGGTGATGAAGGAGAGGAAGCCCATGTAGCTCAAGTCGCAGTAGAACATGGTGACGGAGCCATCGTTACACTCCACAATGATTTCCTCTGTGATCAAATGCTTGTTGAAGTCTGGGAAGGGAGGAGACCATGCCAACCAAGCAGCACAAATACTTACTTGAACAAGGGAACATCCCAAGACAACATAATATGCCAATCTTTTCCCAATCCATTTGCGGAAAATGTGCCTTGACTGGGAACCCATAAAAGCCACAACCACAACCGTGGTTTTAGCCAGAACAGAAGACACTGCAATAGTGAAGATGATACCAAATGCCATTTGACGCAGGAGGCAAGTCAAATGATTGGGCTTTCCAATGAATAGCAAGGAGCTAAGGAAGCAAAGACACAGAGATGTGAGGAGTACATAGCTAAGGCCCCGGTTGTTGGCTTTGACGATGGGAGTGTGTCGTTGCTTAATGAAGAGCGCAAGCACAAATGCTGTCAACAGAGAAAGGAAAAGAGACAAAGAAGCTAAAGTGATGCCCAAAGATTCCTCAATGGAAAGAAAGGTCTGAACTTTGGGAATACAGCGATCTCTACCATGATTTGGATAGTCGTCTTCTGCGCAGCTGATGCAATTGTCTCTATCTGTAGAAAGATAAGATGCTAACGTTACCTTACAAAGCTACAATGCCACGATCTCCTGAGTAGTTGATATAATAAATTTGGTCCATACAAGGAAAAGAGCTAATGTTGAAGCTATGAGAATTGTTTTGAAATTTATTTTTTGAGACTCTGCTTCACTTTGATCTTTTTATACCATATGACGTTTAATATTGAATGCAATTAAAGAAATGTCTTATAATGAAAAAGAAACACATTTGAGAGTGGGAACAACATCCTGTGGCTAGTTGGTTGGCGGTGGCCAGAACATCACCCAGGAAAATACAAACACCATTTGGAGATAGATGGATGGATACATAGATAGATGTGAAGAGGCTTGGCTTCCTTTAACCTCAGAAGCATGTGTTTCAAATTTAGATTCTGGGGCGAGGAGTAGATGATACAACAGACATATTTTGCAAAACAAAGAACTGTGGGCAGCATGAAATAAAAAGGAAGTGCCACTCAGTTGGCTTTTATAGAATTTCCAAGGACATCTCACACTTTACAAAATTCTTTTTTCGCCCTAGGCTCTCTTTCTCTTCATCCCCTTTCATCCTCCCATGCTACCTTTGATTAGATGCTTATCAAAACAGTTCAGGAAAGCACAACTTTCCAATTACAGTCATTCAATATATCAATATACCATCTGGGCTTTTCCCTTCCTTTAGGCATCAATTTTGGTCCAATCCATCAGACACTATTTTGTTTGAACGGTCTACATCTAAGACCTGGTTTTGGAGTTTATTGTTTGTGAGTTCCTTGGTTTGACATTTAAGACCTTCAATTGATGTCTCCTTTTGCATCTCTAAAGAAGTTTTTTTTTAATGTCAGGAGCGACTTCAGAAACTCCAATTTGCTTCTGGTGTGAGAGAATTGGCCATCTGCAAGGACGTTGCCCAAGGGACACCCCAATGTTTTGATATTTTATCATCCTTGTGGTAGGCTTCTGTCATGTCCCCGCAATGGGGAGCTGGAGTTCTCTCATGTTCCTAGATTCGAACCTTCGACCTGTTGGTCTTCGGTCCTGCTGGCGCAAGGACCAAAGACCCATTGCGCCACTAGGGGCTCTAAAGAAGGTGATTGCCTGTTTACTGATGGGCCTGTTTCCTTGTTTGTTTCATTACCCTGTCAGCCTGTTTTTCTCAGACTAAGGCTATTTATTTAATCAAACTATTCTTCATTTCATTGCAATTTATTAATCAAATGAAATCAAATTATATAAGTGTCAATTGAGCCCTTCAGATGGATAGATCGATGGATGGATGAATGGATGGATAGATAGATGAACTACAGCAATGAATGCTTCAACCTCCCAACAGATTTACGGCCGTAGACTGGTCTATGATCACTGGATATCTCCTATTTCAGTCTGGCAAGAGCTCTCTGATGTCTCCAACGCACAATTTTGCCCAGAGTCTTCACTTTTCCTAAACTGAAGAAATCTAGGAAGTGTACAGTAAATATATGGCATAGCCCTTTGAGTGAAATTCTTTGTATCTCTAAAGAAGATGATTGCTTGTTTATTGCTGGGCCTGTTTTCATGTTTGTTTCATTGTCCTGTCAGCCTGTTTTTATCATGGCAGATTCTAACACTAAGGCTATTTATTTGATCAAATTATTCTTCATTCCATTGCTATTTATTAATCAAATGAAATCAAATTAAATAGGTGTCCATTGTGCCCTTCAGATGGATAACTAGATAGCTAGATAAATAAATAGATGAACTACAGCAATGGCATAACCCTTTCAGTGAAATTCTCAAGGACACTTGTCCATCAATTGCAGACATGTACATTTTAGACTGCAACTCATGTGAGAAGTCTCTTATCGGTGTCTTTATAAGTTATCAGTTTCCTCAACATGGGAGAACATGTCTCCTACCTGTCAGTTTTGCAACCTTCCCTTCAGGACATGGAGCACAATCATAGCAACAGAATGCCACCCCTTCTTTCTTTTTCTTGCTGTAGCCAGGAGAACACTTGGCATTACACAGAGAGGAAGGAGGCACCTATTCTTAAACAGAGACAATTCATTAGCACTGAAAAGATATCGAGGGGAAGACAGCATTAGAAATGATCTACTAAGAAGTAAAGGAAGTTGTGGCACTGAGAAATAACACTGATGATTCTCAGTCAGTTCATATTCTCAGTTTTTCATGTTAGGGTAGATGTATTCAAGATTCATTCTCTCTACATTCAACAAAATGAATGAAGATATGAACATTGATTTAGATGTCGAAGGTGTTTTTGAATATTGTGACCTTATCGCACAAGGTTTTGGTTCTATCCTAGGATATTTCCTAGACAGAGCCAGGTTGGGTTTTACAAGAACCCATCATATGATGCAGGGCTACTTCTGGTGGGGCTCCATCCTGGTTCCACCCTGGAAAAGTTTTAGGATGGAGTCCTGAGAATACGGGAGGCTTCCTGTGTTCTCATTAAGTAAAATGGGGTGAACATGTGGGAACGGGGAAGCACCAATGTGAGTGACTTGCCATATTTCTTTGTGAATCCTCTTGCTGTCGCCCAGTTTTTTGACCTCAATTTGATGAGGTCCTTGAACTGGGCCTCATAAATCCTGGAAGCATGAGAGACATTGATGGGAAAGGGTTTGGGTATGCTTTACATGTGATTCGCAACCCTGAGTGGCAAATTTTAGAAAGCTGATATTATCTCTAATTTGCCAGTGTGACGAACCCAGCTGCTAATTCTCCATGTTCATTAAAAGTAATTTCATCTCCAGCATTATTGTTGAATGAAATCCTTTGAATCAAAGAGTGAAGCTAAATGGAAAGAGAAAGTGATTCACACAACTCAGACTAGAAGGGATTTGGAGTTTTTATGCTAAATTTCGACTCCTCTATTTTTCTACTGTCCCATTCTGAAGTGCAATAACAATTGCATTTCAGTAAACCAGATTGCCACAATGTGTATTCTCAAGGTACTTAAACTGGTAAAACTTCAAATATATATTACCATATATACTCGAGTATAAGCCGACCCGAATATAAGCCAAAGCACCTAATTTTACCACAAAAAACTGGGAAAACGGATTGATTTGAGTATAATCCGAGTGTGGGAAATGCAGCCACTACAGGTCAATTTCAAAATAAAAAATAGATACCAATACACTTACATTAATTGAGGCATCAGTAGGTTCAATAAAACTGTAATTTAAGATAAGACTGTCCAACTCGGATTAAACCATTATTCTAGCCTTTAATGTAAATGTGCTTGCGTATCCTTCTGATAATAATAAAGAGAGGAAAATAATTAATGTAATAATAATAGAGTAAAATTATGATGATGATGATAACAACAACAACAACAACACAACAGAGTAAAATAATAAATAACCTTGACTCAAGTATAAGCTGAGGGGGACCTTTTCAGCCTAAAAAAGGGCTGAAAATCTAGGCTTATACTCGAGTATATACAGTACTTGATTAAGTATCCAATGAGACATTTAAATACATTGTAAGAATATAATAATAATAATAATAATAATAATAATAAGTTACAACATTGCAAAAATACATAATCAAAACACATAATCATTTAAAACCACTCACTGAATACACATATTAAAGCGTCCATATAATTTAAAACTTAAATGTCCGTTTATGAAGGGTCACACATTTCCCAAAATACTTCATTGATTGCTTCAAAATTTGGACACAATATAGCATTCAAACAATTGAATGTTTTCATGTTTTCACATACCTACTATTATATAGATGTCACACCTGTGACAGATAAAAATCTGTTTTACATAAAGAGCATCAATGGCTGGACGGTCATGCAACACATCATGAAGCGACTGTTCCGTCTTTCAGGAGCATAGTTTGCATTACCTTTTAGTTGCATGGGATAGTGTTTTTTTTGCATTTCCCCAGGTCTGCTACAGACCCAGCAGCACCCTGGAAGTTAAACAGTATCAGAGTCTGCAAAGCCAGACTGCAGGCCCTCTGCAGTTATTGGTTTAGAAAAGTATCTCATCCCCTTTTTCCAGGGGATGAGATCTCCATTTTAGAATCTCCCCTGCCTCCTTCAGTAGAGAAAGAAAGCTTCAGTTGGTCAGCTAGGTAGCTCTGAAAAAATCATTGTAAGTACGATTGAGTGACTGAGATATAGAAAAGCTTATTAAGATATAGAGAAGCTGATTGAGTCATAGATAGAAAGATAGACTGAGTTGATTGAGTGATTGAGTTATATAGATAAAGAAGCTAATTGAGATAGATAGATAGAATAGCAATTGAGTTATAGATAGCAATTGAGATATAGAAAAGTTATTGAATATTATTGAGCAGTACTTCATCTCCAAAGCTAACCTTGAGCTATAGATAGGGAAAACCTGTTTTTTCTAACCATAGCAGCTCAGGGTTAGGGTGAAAGGATCCCAGGATATTTTCTACCTTTTGGGGAAGAGTTACCTCAGTAACTGAAGAAAAAAGAAAGAAAGATCATCTCTATGGTTTCACCAATTGACTGTTTTGTTTGTAACTTTGACAAGCTGTGCCAAGTCTGCAAGGACTTTGAGAAATAAATATTCTGTTTTGGTGTTCAAAACCTGTAGTAGCCTCAGTTGCTGGGAATCTCAAGCTTCTAAAGAAAGACCCCCGCGGTCCACCCAGACAAAGAGAGAAGCACATCTTAGTTTTATTTTTATAGGATCTGGGTGTGATGGCACAGCGACCATGTCAAGACCAGAGCCATCATTTGGGATCCGCAGCCTGGTTGCCTCCCACCGAACCTGCCTACCTGCCTGCCTGCCTCCCAAGCAGAACTGGGAGAAGAAGAGCAGAAAAAGGACGGTGGGGCAGGTAGGGAAATCCAGGACGGGAGAGGGGTGGGACATGGATCCAGGGAGGGAGGGAAGGAGGCAGGCAAAGAGGTAGGCCCAGCCCAAGCCCTGGGCTCCCATAGCCTCACATTTTGCCTGGCCTTGCCCGGCACCGCCTCATGCCTGTGCATTCAGGAAAGCTTGTGGCTCAGAAGGAAAGAGGGATTGAATGCTAGGAAGGAAGAGATAGATTGGAGGAAAGTAAAGGAAAGGGCTTCCCAAAACACACTGATCATCATCATCATCATCATCATCATCATCATCATCATCATCATTATATAGACCTGGATGATGATGATGATGATATTATTATTATAATATAGGCAACAAGGCCAATCTTTAGAATTGTGCAGTTTAGATCTAGACACTGATTGCTTCTCACATATGTTGCGTGTTCTAGAGTTGGCAAACCAGACAATCTCTACTCGTATATCTGCACAGATAATGGAACAACAAAAAATATTGTATACCCACAAGAATTGTGAAATTACATATTTTAGAAACCCGCTCTTTCTCTTTTCTTTCTTTTCCATTTAATGCATGGCCGGGTACAGCAAGTATTTCTATAAAATACATATTAAAATACACTAAAGAAAAGCTAGACATAGAGTGGAAGTTTAAAATGTGTTATTATTAAAACTCTCTGAGTAGGCTTGGTGGAAGAGATAGATCTTCACTTGTGTCTTAAATTCCGACTGTTGATTTAGCTGTCGGAGCTCTACCAGCATGACATTGCACTGTTGTTGGGTGGCCGATGAAAAGGTCCTCTGGGTTCAAGAAGGCAGGAGCACATGCCACCCAGAGGACCTCCATGTTTGGTGCAGATTGCACAGTAGAAGGCGAACCTGTAGGTAACTAGGACCCAAACCATATAGGGCTTTAAAGGTCTTGTAATCAGTCTGGCTGCTGTATTTTGAACAAACTAGAGTTTCCGAACTTGGTACAAGGATAGCCCAATGTAAAGTGCTTTGCAGAAGTCCAACCTTGAGGTTACCAGCAAATGCACTACTATCTTCATGTCCTCCAAATCTAGGAAGAGGCGCAGCTGGTATATCAGTCAAAACTGGTAGTAAGCACTCCTGACCGCCACACCTACCTGGGCTAACATTTGGAGAGATGGATCCAGAAGCACTTCCAAGCTGTAAACACAGTCTTTCAGGGAGAGTGTAATCCCACCCAGAACTGATTGACATGCCTCCACCTGCAGATTAGGACCCTTGATTACAAACACTTCTGTTTTGTCTGGATTCAATTTCTATTTGTTTTTCCTCATCCAACCCATTAGCATTTCCAGACATTCATTCAGAGGATATCCTTAACTGAAGTTGTTTTTGAAAGGCATGGAGAAATCGGCATCCTGATAACACCCCGGCCCCATGCCTATGGATGATCTCTCTCAGTGACTTCATGTAAATATTATAGAGCATTGAGAATAGAATGACACCTTGTGGGACACCACATAACAGCTCCTTCTTGGGAAGAGAGCAATGACCAATCTCGATAAAATAGTGAACAATAGAGACATCACACTGGTAACGAAGATCCGCATAGTCAAAGCAATGGTATTCCCTGTAGTAACCTATGGATGTGAGAGATGGACCATAGGGAAGGCTGAGCGAAGGAATATAGACACTTTTGAACTGGTGCTGGAGGAAAATTCTGAGAGTGCCTTGGACCGCGAGAAGATCCAACCAGTCCATACTTCAGGAAATAAAGCCCTACTGCTCATTGAAGGGAAGGATATTAGAGGCAAAGATGAAGTACTTTGGCCACATCTTGAGAAGACAGGAAAGCTTAGAGAAGACAATGATGCTGGGGAAAATGGAAGGAAAAAGGAAGAGGGGCCAACCAAGGGCAAGATGGATGGATGGTAACCTTGAAGTGACTGGCTTCACTCTGAAGGAGCTGGGGGTGGTGAAGGCCAACAGGGAGCTCTGGCGTGGGCTGGTCCATGAGGTCATGACAAGTCGGAAGCGACTGAATGAATAAACAACAACAACAAGCTATCCTCAAGCACTACCATTTGGAACCTGTCTGAGGGGTATGACTGGAACCACTGCAGCCTGCTTGTCTAGAAACATAAATGGAACAGATATAAAATCGTAAAGTTATGATATTGTGGTTGCAATATCTGGAAAAGAATGGAAGATGTTGAGATGAGATAATGAGATAATGCTCAGTGTAAACTCACATAATGAAGTTTATGTAAACTAAACTGTATTTTATGAGTCCATACTGACCATCCAATGCAGTGTCAAACTGTATTGTATGGCAGTGTAGATGGGCTCAAAATTACACTGATATCTTAGAAAAGTTTTGAGACAAATATTTCGATGACCACTACATATCAAACATCAAATGGAACATTGGTTTTGGTAAAAGGTTTTTTTCAGTAAGCTATTACCTTCCAAAACTGCTGGTGGGAGGCCAATATGCTTGGATTTTCCTTTCTTCTGTCATGAAGTGACAGATTCTATGATTCCTTTGATTCTATGATTCTATGATTCTATGAAGTCTAGATGAAGTCATGGTATGGAAGGCATGCACAACAGCATACACAGCATTATAGATGCTGTAGCTGTGGCCAGTCATTCTCATGTCAAAAAAGGGAGTTGGAAGGCTCTCTAGTTTCTCCTCCTTGGTGCAGCCTCTGAGGAATCTTGCCGGAACATTGTGTGATGGAATGAAACAGTCAAAGCTTTGCTCCCAGAACTCTTTGATGAAACCATTTCCTTTGTCATCAGAAGGGTGGATAGCCTGAAGGTATTCCTGGAAACCTTCAATGTCCTTTGACTGCAGAGCAAAAGAGATAGCACCATGGACTGCTTGCATATTGAACCCCTTTTGAAGGGTCTGTAAAGCAACATCAATTTGTGCTGTCATGATCCACACTTTCACAGGAAAGCTCATGTCATCTATAGAAGTGAACATAGTTGCAGAGAGAAAAAAAGTCAGCCATGTGAATGATCCTACTTCCCCATACAGGATCGTCACGTTTTCTTTGCTATTCATGAAGGTGGCTAAATTACTGAGGAAGTGTTCAAACATGTCATTTAAACCTAAATCTTTTGGAAGAAGGACTTTAGAAGAAACACAGATTCCATTCTGCGAAAACATTGGCTCCAGAGTTGACAAGAAATGCTCCCCACTTTTTGTATCCTTTGTAATGAGCCTGACCCATTTCCATTCAAAATACAGAAGTAGTTGGACGATTCCCCTGATCTGGAAATCCTCGTTGGGGACCATGCGATAAAAGAAATGGGCATCTGTTCGATCATTTGTCCTTGGCTCAAATGAACCATAAGAAACCTACATGAATAAACAAACAAACAAACAAATAAATAAATAGTGCAGACAATGGAACAAGGATATTCATCTACTTCCTTTTTAGTTTTTCCTACCTTTTCATCCAGAAGGATTCTAATGTCTGCCTATTAGGCAATGCGATATAGTTGAATAATATAGTTCATCTTGTTAAGCACTAAAACTTTCAATTACAATTTTAAGAAATCTATATACATACATACATACACACACTGGTGTATATACCTGGTGCCACCCGGGCATCCTTCCTTCCTTCCTTCTTTCCCTTTCTTTTTTCTTTGCCCTCCTTCCTTTCCTCCTTTGTCTTTCCTTCCTTCCTCCCTTTCCTCTTTCTTTCCCCTCCTTTCCTTCTTTCCATCCCCTCATGTCACCTTTCTCTTTAAGTGATGGGACAGGCCACCTCACCCAGAAACAATCTTTGTGATACAAACAGATACAGATGGACACACACACCCAAGCTATCACTGTCTTTCCTCTATGCATTTTAAATTTCTATATATAGTTGTGAAAACTGCACATTGAAGGAAGAAAATCAGTTCTTTTGAAAGGTACGGTTAGTTCTCCACTTTCATTTGGATTGTAGCACAAGACCCCATGAAACACCAAAGAAGAAACAGCTGGTTTTTTAAAATCCGAGAGAACAATGGGAATTTATCCAAAACTGACTTACAGAAGTGAATCTGATGTTTTTAAATAAAAATACTAATTAAACTTTTATTGCATGTTATAAATCAAGATTTTATTGGCCTGGAATGGAAGGTGGAGCAAGGTAAGTTCCAAATAACACCTTTAGCATTAGCATCCTATAATAAGGTCACCATAACTGAGAAGACATTTGCTCCAGCATGCTCCTTTTTCCCCTCAGAAGGTAGGAACATGGCAGAATATTAGGTTCTTGTGGGTTTTTTCGGGCTATATGGCCATGTTCTAGAGGCATTTCTCCTGAACATGGCCATATAGCCCGAAAAAACCCACAAGAACCTAGTGATTCCTGCCATGAAAGCCTTCGACAATACACATGGCAGAATATCTTATTTGTTGTTGTCATGTATCTTCAACTTGTTTGGGGATTTCTGATGCGAAGAGTGTTTGATCCACCAATGCTTCCACTCTGTGCTCTATGACCAAATGGGGAATTGAACTGTGGTCTCCAAAGTTGTCACCCAATCCTCAAACTACTATCCCATATTGACTCTCAAATGAATAAGCATATCATGTTGCTAAAGTTCCATTAGACAATCGGAGATATCTCTTCAAACAAAAGTTATGTTAAAAGAAAACGTGTAGGGTGAATGGGAAATTGTAGGATTAAGCTCAGAGAGATGAAGTGAAGAAGTTCCCATATCCACAGTCTTGGACAGTAATACTTCCCCTTGTAATTGTTCAGCCCACCATGATTTTTGGAGCAATACTTCTTTCCCCAACAAACAGAAAATATAATCACTCTACAGCTTCACTCACACTCTGTGTATTTACCACTCAAATAAGGAAATTACTAGCAGTTGAACAAGGAAGAAAGAGCTACTCCTGAGATTTAGAAAATCTTCAGAACCCCCAAGATCAAATCCTACCTGTGGAATCTTGTAAATGCCCAAGATATCTGCCATATAGGAGGAAGTTTCAGAATCAAGTCCTCCAATCACTCCGATGAGATTGTTTTGGAGGCCACACTTGTAGTTAGGAACAAATGTTTGGGATTTGTAGAGAAGGTCCAAAGTGACTCGGTAGATCAAGTTTGCACTAGAATAGCTGTCATAGATGTGGAAACCAAGAGTGATGTTGGGCAAGATCTTAGGGTCCTGATTGATCTCATTAATGGCAAACACCAAGGCCAGGATGTGTTGGTAGTACTTCATTAGCACTCTGTAAAGTTATGGTAAAGTTATACCAGTTGGTTAGAAGAGGATTCTGTAGCACTTCTGGAATAATCGCAATATTTGTTTAACTCTCATTTGGTTGAAAAGATTCTAGCTGGGAGATTGAAACACTTCTTTTTGGAGCCTAAATGAAATTGAAATGCTTCAAAGCATGGTGTTAATTAGAACATTAATTTTAAGATAGTTATTTAAACCAAACGCAGTCAACCATCTAATTACAGTCTACGTGAATGATTCAAACAATTTCAGATTGGAATAATAATAGATTAATCAAACATAGACAAAAATGACTTTAGAATTTCCTGAAAAGCCAACAATGGAAAAACTGCTCAGGATTTCCATACGAATAGGTTTAAAAGGATTCAAGTGATAAAATCAGTATCTTCCATTGGGTATGCCTAACTAAGGGTTTATTTCCACTGCAGAATGAATGCAGTTTGGCACCATTTTAACTGCCAAGGCTCAATGCTCTAGAATCCTGGGGTTTGTAGTTTGGTGAGGAACTAGCATTCTTTGGCAGAAAAGGCCCTTGTAAACCTACAGCTCCCATTATTCTATAACATTGAGAAATGATAGCTAGTGATGCTAAATTGCATTAATTCCATGGTGTAGATGCACCTTTGATTTGTCTCTAAGTAGACAGGCAGAGAAATGCACTGTTGAGATACACTACATACTGACAATCTACATTATCAGAAAGAATTCCTTCCCAACCTTTTCCCATCAGCTATTGAAAAAGAAAGGAACATTTCTTGCTCAGATCAAGCAGAAGAAATCAGTTCAATTTCTTTCACATTTCCCCATTATAGAATCAGTGAAGTTTGCCAACCTCTGAGGATGCTTGTCAGAGATGCAGGCGAAACATCAGGAGAGAATGCTTCCAGAACATGGCCATACAACCTGAAAAAACCTACAACAACCCATACATGTTAAAATTATTACATACAATATTAAGCCTTAGGTGATGGATAGAATACAAATTTATTCCTTACATTGGCAGGCCCTATGACTCCTGAGAAGGACGCCTTCGGAATGAAATTTGGGGTTCCAACTGATAGATATGAGTTGCAATCCCACCAATGAGGACTTCATTAGGCCGATGCCATTCATGTGGAATACAAACATGATCCGTTGGTGTGCAATTCATACTACGCACTTTGCATATGGCATGAATGGCCAGGAAAGCCGGCAGCACTAAGATCAACATCAAGGCGTCTGGTTGCAATGCTTCCCTCTAATGGTGGACTTTTCTTAGTCTTCTGACAATGTGACTGCTAGCATCAGTCTTGCTTGGAAAAGCAGAGTTCCAAAAAATTGAATGCCTTCTGGCTTGCTAACAGTATATTCAACTGTTCAGGTTGTTGTAACTCTGCCTACCTCCAATATCTAGTTTTAGCTTTGAACAGAGTACTCAAGTATTTATTATCTTTTCAGATTTTCTTTATTGTGTCCTCTGGAAAAACCACTGTGGCTTTGATGATGACATGATTACAGTGATTTCGATAATGAGCAGGAGAGAACTACTTCTGTGATTTTTCTGTTTTTCTTGCCTTTTCAAAAACTTGATAACATCAACATGTTTAAAAGATTTCAATACAACTGACTTCTAATTCAAGCATGGCAGCAAAAATTAAGCAATTCACGTGGAATTTAGCAAATTTTAGGAACTGAAATACAAGTGCTAGAATAGGCATGCCATTGTCCTGAGACAAAGGAGCCCACAGTCCTAAATCCTCCTTATTGTTGTGTGTCAACAACTTGTATCTGACTTATAGTGATGCTAAGGTGATCCGATAATGGGGTTTTCTTGGCAAGATTTGTTCCATATGGGCTTGCCTTTGCCTTCCTTTGAGCCTGAGGGAGAGTGACAAAGGTTGGATACACGTTTACATAATGCAGTTTGGAACTGCAGTGTATCCTCAGTGTACATGAGGAGTTTCCAAATTAAGGTCCGCAGGCTGAATTCAGCCCGCCAAGGTCTTTACCCCACCCCACACTGTTACTGCCACACGTGCATGCATGCATGCTTGCCATATGCATGGGTGTGGCGGTGGTAACGGCCAGTGAGTGTGTGTGGTGACAGTGGGTATGCAGTGGTTGTAAGTGACAGTGGCGGATATGTGGTGGCAATAGTGGCGGTGGCTGTGTGTTTATGGCAGTGGACAGATGGCATAGCAGAGTTTCCAAATTAATGTCCATGGGCTGAATTCGGCCCGCCAAGGTCTTTACCCCAGACCTCACTGTTACTGCCACATGTGCATGCATGCATGTTTGCCATATGCATGGGTGTGGCGGTGGTAATGGCCAGTGAGTGTGTATGGTGACAGTGGATATGCAGTGGTTGTAAGTGACAGTGACGGGTATGTGGTGGCAATAGTGGCTGTGGCTGTGTGTTTGTGGCAGTGGACAGATGGCATGGCAGAGTTTCCAAATTAAGGTCCGCRRGCTGAATTCAGCCCACCAAGGTCTTTACCCCAGGCCACAATGTTACTCCCACACGTGCATGCATGCATGTTTGCCATATGAATGGGTGTGGCGGGGGTAATGACCAGTGAGTGTGTGTGGTGACAGTGGGTATGCAGTGATTGTAAGTGACAGTGACGGGTATGTGGTRGCAATAGTSGCAGTGGCTGTGTGTTTGTGGCAGTGGACAGATGGCATAGCAGAGTTTCCAAATTAATGTCCATGGGCTGAATTCGGCCCGCCAAGGTCTTTACCCCAGACCTCACTGTTACTGCCACATGTGCATGCATGCATGTTTACCATATGCATGGGTGTGGCGGTGGTAATGGCCAGTGAGTGTGTGTGGTGACAGTGGATATGCAGTGGTTGTAAGTGACAGTGACGGGTATGTGGTGGCAATAGTGGCTGTGTGTTTGTGGCAGTGGACAGATGGCATAGCAGAGTTTCCAAATTAAGGTCCATGGGCTSAATTAGGCCCGCCAAGGTCTTTACCCCAGACCTCACTGTTACTGCCACATGTGCATGCATGCATGCTTGCCATATGCATGGGTGTGGAGGCGGTAACAGCCAGTGAGTGTGCGTGGTGACAGTTGGTGTAAGTGACGGCAGGTATGTGGTAGCAATAGTTGCAGTGGCTGTGAGTTTGTGGCAGTGGATAGATGGCATGGCAGACACATGCCGCATGTGCACATACCCAATACATGCATGCATGCACAATGCATGTATCCACACAGAATTAAAATCTGACCTCACAACAGTCTGAGAGACCACGAAACTGCCCTCCACTAAAACGTTTTGGGAGCCCTCATGTAGATCCATATAATAATAGTAGTAATAATAATAAATAAACCTAACAATAAATAAATAAACAAGAAACCTCCCTTGCTTAGTTTCCAATATACCCCACAACCTCTGAGGATGCCTGCCATAGATGTGGGTGAAACGTCAGGAGAGAATGCTTCTGGAACATGGTGCTCCAGCTTTGCTGGGTGCTATGCAGCTCTGGTGCTCCCACCTCATATAGCTGCACTAACCAATCAGCCGTAAGCCCTTTCAAATTGGCTGTCACAGCATGCATTTTTGCTTCCTCAGATGGAAAAGTTGGACCATAGTCCTGCATATAATGTCTCACATTTGTGAGGAAGTATGACAACTGGCTCGGCTCTCCATTGAACTTAACTCTGAGATCTCCTTGGAGACCAGGCCCCATTTGACTCAGTCAAATAAGGCCTGGAGATAGAGGATGCAAGCTGGACACAGAGGACACAAGCTTGAATGTGTCCAGAGGAGGGCGACTAAAATAAGAACAAGCCCTATGAGGAGCGGCTTAAGGAGCTGGGCATGTTTAGCCTGAAGAAGAGAAGGCTGAGAGGAGATATGATAGCCATGTATAAATATGTGAGAGGAAGTCATAGGGAGGAGGGAGCAAGCTTGTTTTCTGCTTCCCTGGGGACTAGGACACGGAACAATAGTTTCAAACTACAGGAAAGGAGATTCCACCTGAACATTAGGAAGAACTTCCTGACTGTGAAAGCTGTTCAGCAGTGGAACTCTCTGCCCCAGGTTGTGGTGGAGGCTCCTTCTTTGAAGGCTTTAAGCAGAGGCTGGATGGCCATCTGTCAGGGGTGATTTGAATGCAATATTCCTGCTTCTTGGTAGGGGGTTGGACGGGATGGCCCATGAGGTCTCTTCCAACTCTTTGATTCTATGATTCTATATGGCTTCCATTGACTCCAATTGGGTCTCCAGAGCACGAACTCTGACAGGTATTTGATCCCAGCCCCCGGTAGGGGTTTTATCTTTTCTCCGAAGGGTGACTCCTCTTAACCTGGGACACTGGGTTAAACTCAGCGCTGCTCCAAGTTCATTTTCCAGCAGCGATATGCCATCCGCATTCTGAGGTGATTTTTCCTCAGATGTCATATTACCCAGCTTGTGGCTTATTTTCTCCTATATTTTCAGCCAATTTCCTCTCACTGGATTTCCAGGAAGAGATGATTTTAGTCTGTTGTATGTAAGAGGTGATTTTAGTCAGTTTGTGTCCGGATCTGTAGCTTTCTGGCGAAATAATTACCTCACAAACAAAGTTGGGAAGATTTAATTCAAAAGCATGCAGTAGCGAACACAACAAAGCTTCAACTGACGGTTTACTTCCCTCATGCCTTCCCTGCATTGCTCCCGTTTCCATGGCAACCCTCTCCCAATTTCAAACATACACAGGAAAGGTCTATGTCATGGCCTTATTTCCTGGCTTCACACCAAACCAGGAGTTAAGGTCATGACAGAGATCATGAATCTGTCCTCCACTAAAAAGTTTGGGGACCCCTCATATGTAATAATAATTATAATGTACTATATATATATTTTCTGCTGTGTTTTTCCGTGTTTTTATGAGTGATGGTCACTTGCTGGCCTGAAAGGTGTATAGTGTCCAAATTTGGTGTCAATTCATTCAGTAGTTTTTGAGGTATGTTAATCCCACAAACGAACTTTACATTTTTATTTATATAGAAGAC